TTGAGTCTCCTTGTGGGTGCTGGGAATCGAACTCAGGTCCTCTGGAAGAGCAGCCAGTGCTCTTAACCACCGAGCCATCTCTCCATTCCCTTAGCATACTTTTCAACAGTTAGAAGACATGAGTCTATTGTCTTTTTCCTTTTTTTTTTTTTGACAGGGTCTCACTATGTAGCCTTGACTGCTCTGGAACTTACTATGTAGACCAGGCTGACTCAGACTTCGGATTCCCCTTCCTGAGAGTTGAGATTATTTGTGCGTGACCACTCCTAGCTAGGGTTATTCCTCTCGCACAATAAAAGGCCAGTGAAACGATCCAGGCCAGGATGGGCACTCCCATGGCAACTCCTATAAAGGAAAGCGTTCAACTGAGGCCTTGCTTTTAGTTTTAGAGGGTTAGTCCATTGTAATCATGGTGGGAATCATGGTGGCACATAGACAGACATGGTGCTGGAGAATTAGCTGAGAGCTACATCCTGAGCTGATGGTAGACACACACACACACACACACACACACACACACACACACACACTCTCACATTGGACTTTTGAAACTTCAAAGCTCACCTCCAGGGACACACTTCCTCCATCAAGGTTACACCTCCCAATCCTTTCCAATAGTGCCACTCCCTGGTGACCAGGCATTCAAATCTGTGAGCCTGTGGGGGCCATTCTCGTTCAAACCACCCCACGTGGTCTCGGTGCCCTTGTTGAGTCCTTTGACCATCGAATATGGTTTTATTCTGGACTTAGTCCTCCCCCGGATCTGTGAATCTGTTCTTGTGCCAGGGCCTTCCTCGACTCTCGTCTTCTGGGGCACTGAGCACGGACAGGTGTGCTCTCCATGCCCGGAGCGCTGGGCACAGGTGTGCTCTCTTGTGCCTGGAGCACTGAGCGCAGGTGTGTTCTCCTATGTCTGGAGCACTGAGCACAGGTGTGTTCTCCTCTGTCTGGAGCACTGGGCACAGGTGTGCTCTCCCGTGTCTGGAGCACTGGGCACAGGTGTGCTCTCCCGTGTCTGGAGCACTGGGCACAGGTGTGTTCTCCTGTAGATTTGGAAGATTTTGAAAATCTGAGTCCTGAGCTTGTTTGTATTTTCCTCTTTTCTAGATTGTTCCTTAAAATACTGCATGACTTTTAGAATTAGATTGTCAATTTCTGAAGAGAAGGTAGTGGACATTGTGTTGAATCTATAGGTCTGTTTAGGGCAGTGATTCTCAACCTGTATATTGCAACCCCCACAAGGGTCACATATTAGATATTTACATTATGATTCATAACATGAGCAAAATTACAGTTAGGGGGTAGCAATGAGATAACTTTATGGTTGGGGATCACTACTATAACATGAGGAGCTGTATTAAAGGGTCACAGCATTAGGGAGATTGAGAACCACTGATTTAGGGAGTATGGCCATACTATTAACCACAGAGTTGTTTTAAAATCAAAGTCTTTTTTTTTTTTTCAGAGCTGAGGACCGAACCCAGGGCCTTGTGCTTGCTAGGCAAGCGCTCTACCACTGAGCTAAATCCCCAACCCCTAAAATCAAAGTCTTGACAGGGAAGACTAGAGACACATTTTTGGAAGAAAAGAAATGTTGGGGTTTTACCTGTAAGCTGAAAATCCTTGAAGACCCGCAGTGCAGCCCCAGAGGGTACTTTTAGATGGCGGTGGTGGCAGTGATGCTGGGGTGGTGACATGGCCCTGGAATTTTGGGTCAGCAATATCCGTGTCCAAATAGCGGGCTGGCCAAGGTCCTTCTACATAATTGTGGGTTATGACGGGTGCCGTCTGCCTCCTCAGCCGGAGCAGGGTTCTTGGGTAATCCTCTCTTTTGTATTGGCAGCTACTGTCTCTAGAAACAGCTGCAGGAGAGCTGAGTGAGAATATCACCAACTTCTTGGTTTTTCATCTGAACCAGCACAGTGCTTGGCACACTCCGTGTGTGTGTGTGTGTGTGTGTGTGTGTGTGTGTGTGTGTGTGTGTGTGTGTGTGTTGTGGGGGTGGGTGGGTAACTCATTTGTACACCTGTGTGTGGGGTCCGGAGATCAGCCTCCAGTGTTGTTCTCAAGAGTCAAGGTTTCTCCCTGGGACCTGGAGCTTGCCACCTAGGATAGGCTGGCTGGCCAGTGAGCCCCAGCAGTCTTCCTGTCTCTCTCCCCAGCGCTGGGATTACAAGTGCAGGCCACTGGGCCGGGCTGTTATCATGGGGTCTGGGAATCGAACTCAGGTCCTCAGCTTGCATGGCAAAACACTTCACCAGCTGCGTTATCTCCTCAACCCCCGCAGACCTACTTTTCATCATAAGATGGGCTCTACTCAGTCTTTTTGGAGACTGCATCCTCTGTGTAGCTCAGGCTGGCTTGGAACTTGATAAATAGACCAGGCTTGCCTCAAACTTAAAGTGTAATTATTCTGGCAGTGCTTTCCAAGTGCTGGGATAAAATTATATGTATGCACATCTGGCTTACTCAGTCTTATAGATGTTCTGGTTGGCTTTTTAATGCCTTTATAATCATGAATAATCTGCAAAAAAGATTATGAACAAATTTCTCTTTCTTCTTGAAAGAAATTTAAAAGCAAGTATTAATGTATCCAAATGTAGGCTCTATATAAACAAAAATATTGGTCCAGTGAAGCATGCCTGTAGTTTCAATTCTATCAATAAAAGCACAGTTATCTTCGGCAACCTTCACACAAGCAAGAGCCAAGATTAGTTTGCTGTAGGGAGCATTCTGCCAACGGTCCTTGTCAAATGCACTGAACGGCCTTGGGTGTGTACACTAATCCCGTTTCTATCCTTTAAGAGAACAAAACAACCAGCCGTGATGTCGCACGCCTTTAGTCCCAGCACTCAGGAGGCAGAGGCATGGGGATCTCTGTGAGTTCGAGGCCAGCCTGGTCTACAGAGTGAGTTCCAGGACCCTGAGAACCCTGTGGATATGTTGGCTAGGCATATCCACAGGGTTCTCTCTGTTGATGGTGCACCTTCTTTGATGTCCTTATGAAGACAAAAAAAAAGCAAGACAGGACAAAGGCTGTAGAAGTTGTAGGAAGCACAGACGGAGCTACAGTGCCATTCCCTTGCTAAATCTGTTTTTGGTCCTTCCATGGGTAAAGGTGGTGGTAATTATATGGAATAAGATGAAGCATTTGTGGAATTTGGACGTCAGTGCTTACGTTTTTATTTGACTGGATTCCTCCCTATGGAGTGCCTTCTACACCTACTGATTATTTGACCAGTTACTCTGGTCTGAAGGGAGTGACTCTCAGAAGAATGTTGCTAACCTGACTTCTCGTTGCAGACAAAGCTTCCCTGGGGCCCCTACTTGTGGTTTTACATGCTTCGGGCTGCCACGTCAACCCTCTCAGGTACTGCTCTTCTGTTTGACTAGTGTATGGTTGCTCTAGAAAGTTCTGCACCCAGGAGCCTTCCCAAACGGGATGCTCCCACTGAAGAAGAAACACGATAGGGAACCACTTTGCCCTCCCCAGGTAGCACTGGAAACTATTACTCTACCTATACAAAAGTTCCTCGGTTTACAGTGGTGTTAAAAAACAAACAAGGGCCAGCCCGTTGGCTCAGGCAGGCAGAGGTGCGTGCCACCAAACTGACCAGCAGATTTGACCCCTGGAACCCACCGGGGAAGACCTCGTTCCTACCGAGTTGTCCTCTGACCTCCACACAATAAACGGCCCCCCTTAGTATGGTAATAAAAACTACCCTGGACCATGGCACCGTTAACGTGGACAGGATGTCGTATTTTGAGCCCTGTCACCATCCGTTCTGTTACCTCACCATTTGGTTTCCTACCGCTGTTAATCCCATTGTGTCCCACGCTTATCTAAAGCCTTATTAGAAACCATTCATATTTTAATTTTTATTAGATTTAATTTCTTCCTAGCATCTTACCATTTTATTCTTTGTTATGTAGCTATGGGGATTCATGGTTTCCTCCATGTAATTTTTTTTATGTGCTGAGGATTGAACCTACCCTGTACATCCTAGGCAAAAACTCTTCCACTGAGCTATGTCCCAGCAATATTTCACTTCTTAAATGGAAATGTAACCGATATTTGAAGGAAGTGAATTATCAACTTATGCAATTATGCTAATAATTTTAAACCATAAAACTTAGCTGTTTCTGGGGCTGGAGAGATGACTCAGACAGTAAGAGCACTGGCTGCTCTTCCAGAGGTCCTGAGTTCAATTCCCAGCAACCACATGGTGGCTCACAACCATCTGTAATGAGATCTGGTGCCCTCTTCTGGCATGAAGACATGTAGCCAGAACAATGTATACATAATAAATAAATAAAAATCTTTAAAGCTTACTGTTTCTAATTAACTGCTTGATAACTTCTGTCAGTTGCTTTTATTAGAGCAAATCGTGGCTAGTATTTGAGCTAACATTTACTGAGCAGGTATTGTGGTCACAGCTGGTACGACAGAAGAGTACAAGCTGTACACGCAGCTATGTATTCGGATGTTAGCTTTTGTATCTGCTTTGGCAACTTCTTTACGTCTTGGAAGCCGGACCTCTCATTGCCTGCCGGAGCCTTCTGTATTAGGTGCTGACCCTTGGTGGGACAGAACACACAGCAAAAGCAGCTTAAGGGCTTGTTCTCCTCACACCATGAGGAGGCCATGGCAGGACCATCCTCCCTTTTCTCCTCACTGATTATTACAGTGCCTGATGAGAATTGTGAAGCCGAACTGTGGCTGGCCTAGCACACATCTGATCCCAGCACTGTGGAGGCTGCTGGGGGTCGTTGACTAAATACTCTGAATATGCTTGCTACATAGAGAGACTTCTGTTCTCAAAACAAACATGCCCAAATAGGAATGTGAACAGACGGGGTGTCCAGGACAGATGTGAGGAGACAGGGTGATACATTTATTGGGTTTAAGGATAAAACAGTAACTCTTGTGTTCTTAGTATTACCTAAAATGCTCAAGAGATGTTTATGAATTGTATGTCTCTTAATTTTTGTATCTTTAGTGTGTGACTTTCTTGGAGAGAAGATTGCATCTGTTTTGGGCATCAGCACCCCAAAATACCAATATGCCATTGATGAGTATTACCGGATGAAGAAGGAGGTGTGTCTCCTTTTTTCACTTTATTGATGGTTTGCCCGAGGCTCGATGAGCTCCATAATGAGTGTGTGGATGCTCTAGGAGCCAAAAAGATGGCTCCTGTGGTCTTTGCAGTGGCAGACGTCAAACACAGGACCTTACACATCCCAGACAAGGGCTCAACCACTGAAGATAGCTTATTTAGTTTGTTAAATTAACATATTTTAGAATTCTTCAAAATTCAGATTTCCTAAGGTAAATGTATAAAACTTATTGCCGGGCGGTGGTGGCACACGCCTTTAATCTCAGCACTCAGGAGGCAGAGGCAGGCAGATCTCTGTGAGTTCGAGGCCAGCCTGGTCTGCAGAGCGAGCTCCAGGACAGGCTCCAAAAGCTACACAAAGAAACCCTGCCTTGAAAAACCAAAAACAACAACAACAACAACAAAACTTACGCTAGGTTTTGTCTGCGAGTGCTAAGTGAGTTGTTTCATGTGTATTAATTTGATCTTTACAAACCTTTTGGTATTTTCGCTTTAATTTAAAAATGAAGAAACACCAGGCAGCCTGTGTAAGTAGTGAGGCAGTTACTGAGTCCCCCAAGCCTCAAGTCCCTGTCATCATGAGAACTGCATCTCCCCTTAGGGTTAGTGTATAAAATGCTCAGAACAGCGCCTCGTGTACACAGTAAACCAGAGTGTGTTACTCTCCTTCAAGTGAATCAAGAGCAGCAGGTGAGGTAAAGCCAGAAGAGGTGTGAGCACAGGGTGTGGGTTCAGTGAATGGCAAGCAGCTTTGTTCTTGGAGGCTGAACCCGGAGGCCAGCCTAGGAGGATCACCTTTATGCCGTTGTGTGGCTCCACGCATCGTTTTTAAAAACAAAGACAAACAAGAAAACACTGTGAGCCGTGTTTCGAGGCTCCTGAGCTCCGTCAGCCCTCTTCAGTAGCTTCTCAAGTCTGTCCCACCTCAGGATGATAGGATCCTCGCCAGAGGTCACTCATTCTGTACTGACTTGTGTCTCGGTCCAGATACAGAGCCACCTCCTCTGTGAACTGCAGTTCTGAACCAGAGGGTTGGCTGGCTCCGTAGGGCTGCCTTCTCTATCACCCTCTCTGTACGTCAGCTTCCTACTAGACTGCACAGTTCTCGAGGGCAGGAACCGGATGATCTGCACCTGGATTAGGTGCTTAGGGAAAAAGTAGCCATGCTATACCATTTAATGAATGAACCAACCTGTTAACTAAACAGGATGACACCGTATAATTAAAGGGTCAGAGTAGCTAACACAAGTGTCACAGTAGCTCATTTATTACTTTATTGGGTAAGTTAACGTAGCCAAGCTAAGTAGTGCTGGACTGTCCACCTTTGAAAGTAACCATTTTACTTTGCGAACAGGGGAGAGGACAGGTTTGTTTGGGTGGTGGTAGTTCTCTCTCTCTCTCTCAAGCCCCCCCCCCCCTCCACTTGTGTGTGGTACTAGGGATCAAACCTAGATCCTTGTATATGTTCGAGACATGACCCTCAAGTTTGGTTTGTGAAGAAAAAGATGCTACTGTGAGAAGAAATCCTTGCTCCCTTTTGGCCATTAGTATTTGAACTCCTGACATTTCCCTTTTTTTTTTTAGGAGGAGGAGGAGGAGGAAGAAAATAGGATGTCTGAAGAAGCAGAAAGACAGTACCAGCAAAACAAGATGCAGGCTGACTGCACTGTACAGACAGATCAACCGGAAACAGCGGTGGCCAGCTCGTTTGTGAATATCAACTTTGAAATGGAGGAGGGCTGTGAAGGACTGGAGAGCAAACAGCAGGCAGCCTCTGTCCCGCCGTAGAACCAAAGGACTGTCTAGAAAGTGCTACCCTAAAGGTCAATCAGGAACTCTTGACATCTTGTTTAGTGGGGCTTAAAACAACTATTTATATTTTAAATTATTAGGGGAAAATCCTTCTTCGTTCTTATGCTGTCTATCACAGTCAGATCTGAAGTTGGGATGTTTTTATTATGAGTTCAATTAGCGCCCTCCCCTCCTCACCGGGCTTCTTTCACATACACTGACCAGTGCTAAGCCCAGTGCTTTGGTAAGACATCATTTAGCATGGCATGATAACACACACCTTTAATCCTAGCACAGAGAGGCAGGGGCTGGTGGTTCTGTGTGAGTTCAAGGCCCACCTGGTCAACATAACATAATGAGCTCCAGCCTAGCCCGTGAGACCCGTCTCAAAAAAACCAAAAAATAAAGGTGTTCCACATTAAAAGGGGAGTTAATTTGTTCCTTGAGATTTTTGGTTTTGGGACATTTGTTTAAAAAAAAAGGGTAAGTATTGACTAATTGTCTTTGGAGCTAATAATCCTAACAGCCTCAGACTGAAGTACCCTACATTGCCTCATGCAATGCCTGCCTCGCATTTAACATACCTGCCCATTAATTCCACACTAGGATGGCTCAGAGTGTGCAATAAAAGGAGCAAGATGGAGGCACTATGGATTTCCTTTGTTGAGACGATTTTATGGGAAGTGTTGAATGTACTACTCTGAATCTTAGATGGGTTTTTACTTTTACCACAAGCCACTCTTGCATTTTTCAGTAGTTACTAACTTGCTCTGGTCACAAAGTAGCACTAGTTGCCGAGTGAATTTGTAGTTCCGTCAGGTGTTGGTCCCTCGTGACTCCCCACGTGGCTGGCACCTTGGGTGTGTCACACTCAGCCCTCTCTGCATCAGGCAGGGTAGCTGGGGATGAACTGCTCACAGTCTACTTTTGTTCACCGTTTGAAGTCACGGTAGAAAGCTGGACAGTTGAAGTGAACCAGGTTTGACCCTCTCTCTCCTCACTAGGTTATTCCTTTACAAAGTTGTGTAATATGAAGCGAATTTTGAGAAATAGTCCTACAGACGTGTTAAGAACCTTTTATATGTATAACTGATTTATAACCAGATGTGGATAAAGAGAAACGTGGACAATGTTTTAGATGCTGATCTTTTAAAAGCCTTCTCATAGCTTTTAGAAATGAACACTTATAAACTGGCCTTCTAAGTAGCATGGGGTTTTCCGTCTTCAGTGTGTACGTTTCAAACATGGATAGGTGAGCATAATTGTAGATACTTGCCAGTGGACCTCTCAGTAAGTTCAACGTCAAGCTGGATTTTTAACTGAATATTCAAAGTTTGAGTCAGTTTCAGTTGGACTGAAATTTGTAAGGCTCAGCAAGTATGGAGTCTTCCTTGGAGTCGTGAGCTAGCTCCCTTCATGGGTGCAAACGATGTGGCTTAGTTCTTAGAGGTTTATCTTTAGATTGCGTAATTAATGACACTATCAGTTAGTTTCCCAAACCAGTCTTAGTTGATAGTTGCTGAAACATGCTGGCCTGACCTCTGCCTCTTGGCTTGTTTTTAACAAACTTTGAGACGGTGCCACCCCCTCAGACCCTAACTTGTTAGGAGGTGAAGGCAGGTGGTCTTGAGGCATCTCTCCCGACACGCTGCACCCCAGAGTTTACGCCACAGCCTCTGGTTACATTAGGAGGGAAGGACCTGCAAAGCCCTGCGGTGGCCCAGTTTGCTTCCTGCTTGTCGGGCAGTGGCGGGTTGTGTGCTGAGTTATGACTCACTGTGCCTTACGTTTGTGCTTTGGTTTATGCAGCTATAAAATGATCATAAACGGGGTAAATGGTTCATCTTCTGCCTGTCTCACCTCTTCCTACGCTCCAGTCCCCAGCAGAATTATTGTCCCCTCTGCATCACGGTCCACGACGTTCTACTTTCTTCTCATCTCCATAAAAACTGAACACAGGCAGGAGTGGTGGTGCATGTCGGTACTCCCAGCACCAGGGAGGCTGAGGTGGGGTCATGAGTTGGAGGCTGGCCTAGACTACAGATCAAGACCCTTATATTTCAACAACAAAAAACCCATAAACACATGAGTTAGTATAAGGAATTAGTAATTCTCTAACAAAAACCTTTAATAAAAGCTACAGTTTTGTAAATGTAACTTGATAATGGTTAATAAAATTAGACAAAATTTCATACTTGTGATTTTAATGAAAACAAAATATTTGCTTGAATACTTTTTTTTGAAGCACCATCTTAACAAAAAAGAACTGGGTGGGGGGGGGTGACAGTGGGTCCAGTGGCTGCAGGTGAGCTTGACACCCTGACTTTGAGCTCCAGAATCCCCGTGGGGGAAGGAGAGAATTGACTCCAATCCAGTGACCTCCATGTTTGCTCTGGTGTTCACACACAGGACATAAATGAAATCATAAAAAAGGCATGGTGGCACTCACCTTTAAACTCAGCACTTGGGAGGTAGAGACGATGGCTCTCTCTGAGTTCAAGGTTCAAGGCCAGTCTAGTCCACAAAACAAATTCCAGGCCAGTCAGGGCTGCATAGTGGACCATGTCTAAAACAAGTCACATCTAAAGGTTTTGAATCCAGAAATGCAGGGGTTTGCTCTAATGATACTCTAATGGAAAAGGCTAATGTCCTTGATATTCATGAAGAACCAATACTGTAATCCTATATGAATACCAGAAATAGTCCATAAACTCAACAACTACCTACAGCAAATCTTTCTATTTCTGAGCTAAATGGAACTAGAACTTACCACTTCATTAAAAAGAAAAAAAAAAAGAAAAAGAAAAAAAAAGGCAGTTGGTCCTATTACTTTGAAATTGTTCCCATTGCAACCAAAACTCTAGTAAGCAAGCTGTTTGCTGTGTCGTACAGGCATGTGATGAGTTTTATTTAGAATGTTTCTAAGGATTCTGCGGCAAAGGTTTTGCATGCAGTATTCAGGCATCTTTAGGAAGGTGGTCCTGTCTTCCAGAGCTCATGTGTCATCGAGATCTGCAGAGTTCTCATTGTCATTTGCAACAAGGGCTTCTCTGTTCTCGTAAGTCCAGAAGCCATTCAGATCAATTAGAATGGTAGTGACTGTGTCTCCTTGATTACTGTTGATTAAATCCTGAAGCGAGATTTTCAGAGGATCCTGTGGTTTTACCATGTCAAAGATTTCATCCTGTAAGGGAAAGCGATAATAATGAAAGCTGGGCAAAGTGATTTCTGTCACACAGTGATGTAAGATTCAGGGTGGACTTGGAACTCTTGTACAACTTTTATTCCAGTCTTTTCTTTTCCACTTGATGGGCATCTCCTTAACACAGACTTTTCGTGGGCAGTTCCTCAGCTGTCTCACAATCATCTCTCATTTTATAGATGACGAAAACAGGCTCAGAGTAGAATCCAAGCTCAGAGCTAATTAATGGCAGAGCCATCTACTACAGTATTCTTTGAATGCAACTAACTGCTATGCTTTTTATTGCCTTCTAACGGTGGGGCAAAGTCTGGGCATAACCTTTTCACCCCCATGCTGGGAATCAAACCCAAGATGTCCCTCCAGGCAAGCACTCTGCCACTAAGTTATGTCATCGTACCTTTTAAGTAAGAGCTGAGCTACATATTAAAAATTCCAGAGGTTCAGAGACAGTGACAAAACTTCACTTCCAATAATCACAGCATCTTTACTCTAGTCCCAGTATGGCAAGAATGGAAATCCATATTAAAGAGTTAGTCATGCAAAATAACAAAACTGTGCCAAGACTTAACTAGAATTCGTAGAAGAACCTCTTCTATGTTATGAAATATACAGTATAAATATTTGCAAGGCAATAACCTGTTTTCTAATTTTTTTTTCTTTTCTCAAGACAGGGTTTCTCTTATAGCCCTGGCTGTCCTGGAACTCACTCTATAGACCAGGCTGGCCTCAAACTCACAGAGATTCACCTGCCTCTGCCTCCTGAGTGCTGGGATTAAAGGCGTACACCACCACCACCAGGCATTTTCTAATCCTGTGTCGTAAATTACTCAAGAATATTTAGTAGTTAGCATTATAAACAGTTCTATTAAAAAAATTTATAGAGTAACTCAGGTTCATAAAATATAAACTTTTAAACTGTGCATTCTTCTTTCCAGATTAGTTGAAGATTCAAGTGCTGGTTCTTAAATTCATGTTACAAAGTTTGGAATTTCCCCCATGTGTTGTCTCAGAATAGTCCCTTCAGGCTTATTCTTGGTTAAATTGGTTAGGGTATTTTATTATGTTCCTCAACTAAACCAAAAAGGTCCTGTTGGATGTTTCTTCCTAACTGGTGAACCACTGACTAAGTGCCAGGGAGCAGCGTGTGTTTCACATAACAGTGGTTTTCTAGATCTCTGTTTATGTATCTGGGTGAATGCTCCATGTGTGCCCGGACCTACAGAGGGCCGAGGAGGGCCTCGGGTCCCTGGAGCTGAGGTACAGATGGTCTTGACTGCCCAGCATCACCCTGCAGAGTGCCGGGATAAAAGGCAGGGCTCCGGTGCTCTCACCGGCTTTATCGCCCTGCAGAGTGCCGGGATAACATGCAGGGCTCCGGTGCTCTCACCGGCTTTGCCGGCTTTCCAGCTCCAGTACCGAGTTTTCATATCGAAAGTGGACGTTTCTTTAAGTCGAATGGATCAAAGCATGCAGGCTCTTTGAGGCAGCGCACCAGAAAAGGTTTTGAATCTGAATAGTCCTCCAGCTGAATGTGGAGTACAATGAAAAGGACTGCTCAAGGATGCAAGCTGACACTCTTCAAATAAAATGAATGAATGTTTCCATGAGAACACAAGACTGACAGTGAAATTATCAACTATATCAATCAGTAAATCCAAATTTGTCTCTATTTCTGATGATTTAAGAATCAGTTCCAAACAAGTGACAACAAAAATCTGACTTGGAATAGTGTTTCATAGTTCATAAATTACTTTCATATAATACTGGATAAAACATTACTTAGTATTATTATAGTTAGATTATCTGATGTTATGTAAGTAAATAAAAGACTAACCTTGACATCTTGAAATGAAACAGGATCCTGTCCATGGATTTTCATTAGTTCTTGTATGGCCTGTATTTAATAGAAATAAATCCATAAATAAAAAATGAAGTCCATAATTCCCACCCCTTCTCACTCCAGTTCCTGCATAGTCCCACACTGTAAGTCTAAGCTTCACAGTCTTTCCGACTGCTCCACTTCCAGTCTGTAACTGGGCGAACATACCCGTGGATACCCATGGCCCTTTCTACGCTTATACCAAGCTATCTAGAACTTGGCAGAGGAAGGAGGGTTAAGGCTGCAGGCTGCAGTTTCTGTTTCCCAAGGCTAGCTCAGCCCTCACATTTGTTTCCAAAAGAGAATACTGAAAAGATGTGTAAGAAAGTCATCTTGACTTTACCATTATATATTTCCTAAACACAGAAGGAACAAAACAAACAGACTTGATTTCTACTTTAAATCTATGTATTATAGGAATCCTTTTAAATTTATGATCAAGCTAGGTAAAACTGTCAATAAGTAATTTAAACTAAATAGTTTAATATATCTTAGGATAACAATGCTCCTGTACCCAAACCATACTTACCCTAAAGAAATAATTGAGGGAAAAGACATTCAGATATCCCTTGTTCTCAATGTCCAGCAGTTTGAAAATATACTGCAGAGCTGCAGGCTCCTTTCTGTTTTCTAAGGCAAGAACAAAGTCCAGGTAGGTCTTATAGTCCTACAGAAGAGAAAACATTCACACAGGGTCTGCAGTGGAATTTTAAATGAGCATCTGCCAAGATGAAGGGATTGTAATCAGAGATGGCAAATTTAACTAATTTTTTAAAATATGAAATAAACCCATTTGTGCATTTAATGTTGGTTTCTGGGAATTCTACGTAGGCACTAATCTAGGACAGTTCCAAGAAACCTAGCTCATTTTTTTTGAAGATTTGCTTAAACTATAATTTTATTCCATACTACAGAATTGTCAAGACAGTGATTAAGTTATTTTATGCTGCCATTAAATTTATGTCTTCATTTCATTTTAGTTTCTTTGAAGAATTTATTTTCTCTAGAATGAACATCAGTCTATTTAAATTGCTATTCAGAACCCACTCATCCATGTCTGTGGGTTCAATTACCCGTGGGCTGAAAATATTTGGGTAAAAGTTTTCATTTGCACCTAACGTAGACTTTTCCTGTCATTCGTACTTAACACAGTACGACTACATAGCATTTATACTATTAGGGATTATAAGTAGACCACAGATGATGCGAGAACACTGGAGCCAGCACAGGGAGCATCTGTGGATGCTGATACCAGTCATGGATTCTGGAACCAGTCAACAGAATCAGGTCTGTAACCCAGGTGGCATGTCTGCAACCCAGAACTCTGAAAGCTGAAGCAGGAGGATCTGAGTTGAAGTCAGCATGGGCCTGCAATTATTTCTCCAAAACCAAAGCAACAAGCAATCAGATGATTTCCAATAGAATGAGGAGGTTGGCTCAAGGGTAAAGTGCTACCTCACAAGCATGAGGACCTGAGTCCAATCTCCAGACCCATGGAAAGATGTCTGGGATGGTGGCGTGCATTTGTGGTCCTGATGCTGGAGAGGTGGAGATGAGGATCCTAAGGGTTTGGCGTCCAGCCAATCTAAACTAATTAGTGCCTCCAGGTCAATCAGAGATCCTGTCTCGGCATTCCTAAGGATGACACCTAAAGTTGTAGCCCTCTAATACACACAGGCATGTAAACTTGCACACACACAAACAGAAAAATTTAAAAAGACGAATGGAAGCTAGAAGCATGGAGAGAACAGAATGCCTGCATCTTGAAAGGGGCACGTGAAGATTACGTACTTGTGTTTTTAGTTCATTTGGCTTGTTGAAACAGCCTCACTCACCCCAGGCTGTCCTGGAACTCACTATGTGGCCCAGGCTGACTTGAAACTCAAGGAGCTTATGTCTCAGCCTCCTGAGAGCTGTGGTTACTGATGTGAGCCACCATGCCTGGCAGAATACTTGTCTTATATGATAAAAAAAGAATACTCACTTGGAAAAGAACTTCACATTCTTGGAAAAGATTTTATAGAATACGATTAAAAATGTTCTTTGCGCCAGGTAGTGGTGGCGCATACCTTTAATCCCAGCACTCAGGAGGCAGAGGCAGGTGGATCTCT